GTAAAATCTCATGATTTCCTTGTAAACTATACCTATTATAGTTTTTCCAAAAGTGTATTTTGTTGTATGGTAAACCCTAGTGTAGTGTCGACTTTGTATGTAAAGTATAACATTTGTAATAAAATTATTGAACATTTAAACTCAAAATATAAATAAAGTGTTTGATATTTATATAACATGTTTCATTTCAAAAGGACAAAGTGTTATCCTGATATGTTGCATGAGAGCATTTTCGTATGATAGTTATAAATCACATATGATTGATTATATAACAAAGAGTATAGCAAAAGATTGATGTTTTTCACACAAGAATAATTGTGTGAAAAGTGTATGAAGTATTTACAAATCATTTGAAAACGTAGTTGTAGGGGTATGAACTCACGTGATAGATTGAAGAAGGTGAGATGAAAACCGAGCAGAACTCCGACCAGAGAAAGTTGATTTCTCGGGATTATCAGGAATCTCGGGAATATAAGACCTTCCTTCGGAACTTTGATGTGAAGACCGAGGCTTCGGGATGGCTTTGGGGGTTAAAATGCAGAGCTTTGGCACGTTGTGAGCATGGGTGGCTCACGTTGTGAGCATGGGTGGCTCACGTTGTGAGCTCTGCCTGGTCTCCTCCCATAGACTTGACAACTCGTTGATAGGCTCTGGAACCCATCAGTCACACGCTCACGTCGTGAGCTGCCTGACAGTCTCGAATTTTGTGTCTCGAACTTGTAAAATCCGTAAATTCTGCGTACGAGCTCCGTTTTCAACATTGTTTATATCCACGCGTAGGTGAGTTTATGCTCTACAACTCTCGTTTAGACTCCGTTGGCTAATTTTGATTATTTTTATATTATATTTTTAACAGGACGGGACAGGAAAACTTCGTTAAAAATCCATAACTTCTTCATCCGGTGTCCATTTTCGTCAGACTTTTTATCGCTGCGCTACTATTGTTGAGATCTTCGATTCTCATTTAGGTTGTTTTGGCCAAAAATCTCTCGATCTCTATTTCGAGTTTTTAGTTGTCTATCGCTATCCCAAAACTTAGAAAAATCATAACTTCCTCATACGAAGTCGGATTTTGACATTCTTTTTACGCACGTACGCGGTTTAGTATAATCTACGACTTTCATTTAGATACCTAAGGCTAAAAAGTATTTTATTGAAATTTCTCTTTTTATGTTTGTTAGTGTTTTACCGGTTTTGACGCGAATTTTTGATTGGTCATAACTTCTTCGTTATAACTCGGATTTTAGTGTTCTTTATATTTCTGAAAATCTTGACACGATAACTATCATTTTAAGCAACCCAATAGAGACTTTTGAACATTTTATTTTTCATGCTAATATCATTATATCAAAAGAGATTACAATTCTTGATTTTTTAGGTCATTACATTGATTCGAAATATCGAGTTGTCACACCGTAACTCCTCGGCCAACTCAGCGAGTTTTCCCCTTACAACTCACCGTGTTCATACGTGACCAAAGGTTGGGAAAACCCTAGCCGACTTGCCGACTCATTCGGCTGATTCGCCGAGCCCAAGGCAATCTTCATTTGACTCGTCGAGTCGTTCATCTGACTCGCTGAGTCTACGACTATCTTCATCGGACTCGCCGAGTCTAATCAGTCCTTCATTCATACAGAGGCTTTTTAAGCCATGCTGAGGTTCCATATTGTAGATCCAAGCTCCTAAGGCATGTTTACCACGTAAAGTTGCAAACTTTACGTGCATGCAAGATGATAATGACCAAAACAATCTAAAGAAGAGATTCTAGGCAAAAGAGCTTCACCAACATGCTAGGGACTGAGACTTTATGATGATAAGAGTCAAGATGAGCCTAGATCTAAAGTTGCAACTACAGATCTTGGTTCATCACTCGGAATGCAACACCAAATGCCCTAAATGGACCCAAAACTCAACTATAGAGGGGGGTCTAACTAGAAGAAGCTCAAGGTGATGACTTGATACCTCCAAATGGATATAAACTAAGGTAGACTTCAGATCCTCATCTATTCCTTGCTCAGAACTTCTTGATCTTCAAACTTCCTCACCAAAATTCCTCTTTCAAGTTAAGAAGCACACCAATATAGAGAACAAACAAAATTAGGGTTTTTGAATTCGATGGGAGCAGTAAGAGAGGCTAAGGGGAATAAGTGGTCCTTAAATAGGGTGTAAAACCCTGGATATTTAGAGCTTCATCCTCCAGCTCCTACTCATCGAGTCCCTCTTGGACTCGCCGAGTAGGATACTAAAACACGCAGATCAACCCGCCGCTACTCAACGAGTAGGGCAGCCAGCTCGTAGAGTAGGCCTTGAAAATTCTCACAAAACCAATACTTGGAGAATGGGGGTGTTACAATTATGTTATTTTCATAAACTTGTTTTGTTGAAGTAACCAAGCATGGGTTAGATCTGTCAAAGTTCCAAACTTAAGGGATTGTTCCTGCCGATTTTAGAAACTCGTGTTCCCTTTCCCCTGCATCACCACAACGGGAGGAGGGGAAGAACTCCATCACATTTTCTTGGTATTTGCAGCATATTCTATATTTAATCATCCCAAACCCTAATTAATGGGTATGAGTTTGTGTTGTGTGGCTAGTGAGTAAGGGAAAGAGATTTATGATCAAGAGAGGAGGAGAAAAAAAAGGATGAGGTTGCCACCACCGGAGCTGCTTTGGACCAGATTTCTTCTTCGGGAGACATCGGATAAGGGAGAGTAAGGGATGATTTGTTGCTACTTCTTGAAGCTATGAGTGTGTCAGAGAAGCCAAGAGAAAGATAACAGATAGAGAGAGAGGGTCGGTATTTCTTTGGGATGACTTGGATAAAATCAAGATTTTTGGTTCACTTCATTCAATTGAGTGATAAATATGGATAAATTTCAGAGATCCTACGGAGAGGCAAGAAGAACATAATTGGTGTTTGTCACACCCCCGGCCGAGGCGGCGGAATACGCCGGGCTGCGCGACTTAGTTCATGGATCCCAAGCAAATTGAATATACATCACAAGTTACAACAATAACAACATAGCAGTTACATTCAAGTTTGAAGTTCGAATACAAGGTTCATACATATATTAATAGGTTCATAAATTCGCCTTAACAAGTAGACCGACATAGCAAAAACTAAATGAGACTAGATTGCTTGAAAATCCATGAACAAATCTTCTGTCAAAGGCTGGTTCACTGATCTCCTGAGAATACATGTGATTTGAGGGTCAACACAAGGTTGGTGAGAGTTACAGGTTTTCTGCTAACCGCAGTAATGATACTTTATGAGTCTAGAAAGTATTTCTTGTGTGGTTAAAACCATGTTTGATAAAGAGTTAAATCAGAAATATATCTATACTTGAAATATTTGTTAAAGATATAAATCATAAGTATACCCATACTTTAAATGCTTGATAAATAGATAAACCATAGGTAAATCCATACTTGAGATGCTTGGTAAAGAGTTAAACCATAAGTAAATTCATACGTAAAATGCTTGATAAAGAGTTAAACCATAAGTAAAACCATGCTTAAAATGCTTGATAAAGAGTTAAACCATAAGTAAACCCATACTTAAAATGCTTGATAAAGAGTTAAACCATAAGTAAATCCATACTTAAAATGCTTGATAAAGAGTTATACCATAAGTAAGTCCATACTTAAAATGCTTGATACACAGAGAAACCGAATCCGTGGTTTCTAGTTAAAGAGTCTAGTTAATGCCTATAGTGAGTCCTATAACCGAGCTATGTGACCAGTTATAATCCCTGCACGACGCTTCATTAGACGTCGTAGTTATACTAAAGATAAATATGCACCTGCTTCGATTGATCAGTCGAGGTTGTAGCTAGCAACCGCAGCTGGGGGTGTCAACCCGTATAGATCTATACATACGTATCTCGCTCCGAGGATTAACGGTTATAGTTAAATGGGAATACTAAGTGTTTAAACTTAGGTAATGAATACTGTCTCACTATAGAGGCCATTAACTAGGTTATACGGTAAAGTTTCACTATAAAAGCTGAATAAAATCGATAAATCCGTAAAAATGTATGTCACTCGCTTAAATAGATAAAATGCTTCTTCACATGCATGAATTATTTCTAAGATATAATTGTTATAAATTGTACATATATAATTGACAAATATGTTTGTACATGCTCGATGTAAGTGAAATAAATTATGCACATGACTAATAATATTTTTAAACGCATGTACATCGTAAAGAAATCGGTTTATAATATATTATTTTGACAATATTAAATATTAAAACTAGATATATGTTTTATATGTGTATTCCATAGCCGATATATATATTCAGCATGATTATAAACACATTTCATAACCGAAAAATATATTTATATATATTTCACATGTATTCCCCCCCAAAATATTAAAACATAAAAAGGGGCCGTAACACTCACCCTTGAAGCATGAACGAATCTCGAAGGTGAAATTTGTTGCGAATGTCGTTTTGTGATGTTCCGTGCTTTTAAAACGAATCATCGGTTCTATTAAATTTTACCTAATAACCAAAAGGGTAGTTTTGATATTAATTATTAGGTATGGAGTGGTTTTTATTAAAACAATTAAATTCTAGGGTTTAATCTTGCTAAAAGTTTTCAACAAGGGACTGATCTCGTATATTATTTCAAAAACAGGGGCTGAAAGTGCATATTCTCAGCCTAAGTTACAGTTTTGTACCCATCTTGCTAAAAAAATTTCGAGGAAAGGGGCTGTTCCTGATTATTTTAATGATAGTTTAGGAGTTTGGAGTCAGTTTGTAAGGAAATTACATGGGAGGGGCCATTCTGTTTATTTTGAATTCAAGTTTGGAAGACGGGGATCTGATTGGTAACTTGATACATCTTCAGGGTCTATTTTAAACGAGCTGAATAAAAGTTTACACAGTGTCGTCTTCTTTCTCTCGCTACAGGTACATGAACTGGAACGAGACCCGTTCTTTGGGTCTCGTAGTTCTCGGCTGTATGCTCGACAGTGGGTCATCGGAACGAAATGGAGAGGATGGAGATAACTTACCGTAGGCATCCCAGCGGAGATGGCGTCGGAGAATGGCGACGGTGGTCAGTGAGCGGGGATGTAGGTGAGTGGCAGAGCTCCGATGGCCTCTTCCCGCCTGGTTTTAGGTTGGGTTCTGGTCCAAATCAGCGGAGAAAACAAATGGGAGTGGTGTTTGGTGGTGATTTTCAATTGAGAGGAGGGGGTATAAGGTGGTGGTCGATTTATTCATAGTGGTGGAATGTGATTTCTGATCGGAGTTTTCATGGTTGCAGCAACCCCAAAGGAAGGATGTCAGGGAGTGGTGTTAGGTGGCACACAGCGGAAGCTCCCATGCTCTGCCCCTCGGTTTTGTCCGGCGAGATTAACGAGAGAGGGGCGAAGAAGATGGCAGATGGTCGGAGGGGTGGAATTCCGACAGCAGCAACAACGTTGAGTGATGAAGTGGGCGTCAGCGATGGGTGGCAGTCGATTGTAGTCGACGATTTTGCCCGTTTTCTCCTTTGTTTCGAGCGGATTCCGGCGAGAGGGAGAGGTTGTAAGGGGCGGACTGTTGGTTCAGGCCCTGTTTCACACAACAAAAACAGAGTAAAAGAGTGAGAGAAGATGCAGGGCAATTTTTCTGTGTTTTATTCCTTTACAATGATCAATCGATTACAAGGATATTTATATAAGATACTTGCAACTAATTATCCTAGAAATACTGCTTACTAACTTTCTGGAGCCAAACGTGGTTATTTACTTGGTCATACCCAATTACTCCTAACAAAAAGACTGAATTGCCCCTGAATAAAATACATGGCTTTGACTTGGTTTGGATTAACACCAACACGGACTACAATGGGGTGGTGTTGGGATGATTTCTGATGAAGAGGAGGTTGCCCAAGAGTAGTGGCAGTAGGCGGCTCACGGTGGTGCAATGCTGTTTTTATGGTGGGGATATGGTGGAACTTCAAATCGGGGTTCCTATCTCACCAACGATTTGAGCTTTTAAGATAAAGAATGGAAAGAGATTTAAAAGGGATACATTTGAAGGGTAAGACAAATTGGCTTTCTAAGATTCGTTTGTACATCAGTTATCAACAGAGGAAAAATGATTAAGTCATATGCAGACTGCATAATGCAGTCATGCAGTGAGGAAAAAGACCCAATCTTCCCAGTTTCGACATAAATGGTCCTTCTAATTTGGACTCTAACCAATCCCTTCTAATCTCATATATTGTCACCAAATTAGTTTCAGGAAATTATATATATATATATGCTCCTAGACTAATATGCTTTGGTGAAATAAATTTATTGAAATTACAAATCTGCCCCTAAACTAATATGCTTTCAAGAAATAAATTTCTTTAAACATGCGTATTATTACTTTTATTTTATTTATTCATGGTTTTTTTTATGTTTATTTAAGTATTATTTTTTTATTGTTCTTTTAGATAAATTAAAGGGTACTTGACGAATAATAGTTTGAAGTTCAAAGGCTCTCAAACTCGAACAATTTTTTTTTTTCGAGTTTGTAAATATTTTGTTAAAAATATTTTAACTATAGCATTGTATATATTAGACTTTAGTATGAGTCCAAACACGGAATTTTCATCTAATGTGCGCAAATGCCTCAACTGATTAATACAGTTTATAAAATAAGATAAAGTCAGTGTTATATTGGTTTGGTTTTTTTTTTCCTTAAACGGTCATATATTTTGCATACAAACCCTATTTTCGACGTTCTTTATATATCCGCGATCAGGGAAACAAGTACTACGAGTCTAGAATATTTTCTTTGTTTAAAGACGCTTAATAACAAAATTTCAGTTTTTCAGTCATTAACTAATGTTACAATTTGCGCTTCGAAATTTGTTCGACATTTTCCATAATTGGAGATAAGATACAATTTCATATCTTATTGTATTTAAAATGACATTATATTTCTACTAAAATATGCATTAATATTCAATCGGTCGAGGTACAAAAGGTTCGCAACAATTTGACTGTCTATAGATTCAGACCTAAATTCTGGGAGGTCACAGTGTTGCCGAAGGAAGAAAGCACCCTCGGAGTTGGGGCGTCGTCGGAGACATGCTGCCGGAAAATGCCTGGAATGTGTTGTTGTTATACGATGCTGATGAAGTAAGGTACCCCTTTGACCTAATTTGACTATCTCATCTAAATGGTTTAGATGTTGGGTTATGTAATCAATCCTAGCGAGCTTTGTTTTAAGTTTAATGAAATTAGCCCATGGTGATTATTGTGTTGTTCCATTTTAGCTGCATGCTACAATTCATTTTTAGAGAAATAGATATATATCATGTTGATGCTATGATCTACATTTTAGAGAAATAAATATATTTCGACTAAATGAATTTATTTAGTCATTTAGTTTATGGAATTGGCTTACGGACGTATTTTATAAATAATAATTGACCATAAGTGTATTAAGGTACATTATTAAGTGATAGTAAAGTAAAGATTATTTATATGGTTCTAGGAGTTCAGAGAACTGGAAATCTATCTCAGCCACTTCAGTGGTTTTTATTCTGTGATTACGATTGTTGCTTCAGAAATGTTTTCTCATTATATTTGTTTGTGTGGTGGTATATGCATGTTGACCGGTTGGGTCTTATTTGTTGCTTGTTGATATATATATATATATATGAATCAAATTGTTGATAACTTATGGATTCATGTGAGTCCATGAGACAACTGATAGTCTCTAATGTTGTTGATAACACATGAGGTGTGTTGTTAATCCACAGGGCGTGTTGTTAGGCTACTGGGATCGCTGAAAGCACCTAGAGTTGCTGATAACTTACAGTTGTTTATTTTGTTGTGTTGTGTGTGACATTTTGGGGAACTTACTAAGCTTGTGTGCTTAAAGATGTGGATGAAATATTTTGTAGGTACTTATCAGATTGCGAATGCAAGACTGTACACACATATCAACGACTTTATGATTCAAGATTCCGCATTGTTTTCTTATAACTATGATTTCTGAATAATGGTTTATGAACAAATAGTAGAACCTAATTGTAACTTTATTAAAAATGGGTGTTTATTCTATTTTAAGAATGAAAAACTCGTTCTAAAATTTGGGACGTTACAAGTTGGTATCAGAGCTCTGGTTTGATGGATTTGGATGAACATTCATGGGGTTCCAAACTCAAACTATGGAAGTGATAGTTTACTAAACATTTTTTGAAAAGATTCATTTAAAGAGAAGAAAAAATAAGATGCAAGGTGTACAGTCAGCCGAAGCTCGTAGAGTAATTTCCCAAAATATTCATACTTGGTTTATATGTTATATTTGACTTGATGTTATATGTGTTGTAGTATGATGTGCATGCTATAAGTTAGGCTAAGGATCTACTTAAGGATTGCATGCTGGAGTGTCTGCTTAGGAGAGATGTCTTTTATGTGATATATGAGTTATTAGAGATGCAGAATAGTGTATAGGCTAAGGATCCTCAGGAATCGCGTGTTAGAATTGTCTAATCCTATGATTCTTGTTGCTTATTGATTTTTTTGATCGAATGTTGCTTGTTTTGAGCTATGTAAAACTTATATTGATGTTAGTTAGCTATTAAACAAATTGTATGCCACAATTTTTCTTATATGTCTAATTTTGATTTTTAAGTTGTTCAATTTATTTATTAAAAAACTTTTTGCATATAAATAAACAGAAGAGTAAAAATATTCAACCCTAATTTTACTTGTTTATTTTATATTTCATATGGGACAAAATTGCAAAAATGGTCCATGTGGTTGATAATTTTATGTGTTTTTTGTCCAAAATGAAATGTTGGTTTATCACTGGTCCAAAATTGGATATTTCTATTGTTTTTGTCCCTATCTACTTAAAAAGACCATTATGCCCTTATAATTTGTTTTTCAACTTTTTATTATCTATTTTATTAAAAGTAAAAGATAAAACCCACCACCATCCCGTTCACTCTTTCTTACACAGACACACACATCTCTCTCTTTCCTTCTCTCTCTCTCTAACTAAATCTTCATCTGGGTTCTTTAACTTTGTCTTCTTAAACACACACACACACAAAATTATAAAGATACATACTCAAGAATAACACACATTAGAGGAGGAGTTTTATATATCTGCATTAGGAGTTTTCCTAGTCTTTCCGAGTGTTACCACTGTCCACCATCACCACTTTCAAGCACCTCCATCTCCACCTAGAAATCATCGGACGCCACCTAGTGATATTGTTTTAAACCAGAGGAGTTTTCTAGATCTGCACTTGGGTTAAGGTTATTCAGATGGTGGCGATGGCAGCGTTGACATCTAAAAAATGAAGATATCGACTCCATCATCAGTTGCTTATTCCTAATCACATAACTTCACATGAACATCACCATTTTTTCTGGTTTCATCAATTTCAGATTATCAATTCCACTGAAAGTAATATTGATTTTTATTGAAAGTAAGATCGAATTTTGGAAAACTCATGTAAATTTGATAGAGAAGAAATTGATGATTTCTGGTAAAAAAAACTTATCATAAGAGTGACATCAACACATGGAGCTTAATGAAATTAGGGCTCATAAGCCTTGTCTCTTGTTTTAATCGGGATAAAGAGGGGACAAACAAAGCAGTTTGAAAAGAACATGAGGGCTCGTTGTGTTCATTGTGATGAATAAGGGAAACAAGGCAGAGGTCCTTCCGTCGAGAGGGATGAAGCATTTCTTCGAGACTGGTGACCCTTCATGGGGTTTTCTTCCTCGTCTTCGGCAGCGATCTGAGAGACACAAAGCAGCAGAATCGCCGAACTTGGGTCGCTCGAAGAAACAAGAACGGAGGCAGCATCCAACGATGAAACTCGAAGGAAGGTAGACAGAAGAATGGTCTGGTGGAACAAGGCAATAAGGTGGGGGTTCGGTGGAGTTTGCTCGATGGGAGAAGAGAAGTGCGAGAGATGAGGTTGTTGTCTTGGTGGCTTACCGATGCACCACCACAGCCCATGGTTCACGGCAGATGAAGATTTAGATAGAGAGATAGAGAGGGAGGGAGAGAGGGAGAGAGAGAGAGAGAGAGAGAGAGAAGAGAGAGAGAGAGAGAAAGAGAGAGTGAGTGGTGGGTTTATTTTGTTTTTGTTTTTCATTTTATTATAAGAATAAGAAAATAAATAAAAGAAAATAAAATATAATTATTTAAGGGGCATATTAATCATTTTAGGTGGGATGTGGACCAAAAACACAAGAAATTACAACCATAAGGACCAAAACCACACAAGGTATCTAAAATTGGACCAGTGGTGTACCAACATTTTGTTTTGGACCAAAATTACAGAATTTTGCCAACCACAGAGACCATTTTTGCAATTTAGTCTTCATATGGTGTCAACCACATATATATTTCACTAGGCGAATGTCCGCGCGTTGTGTGGGATATAAAAAAATATATTATATTAAAAATAATTAAATCATTGTTATTAACAATTAAATAATAATTTCAGAAAAAATATAAAAAATGAGTTTTAGTATTGTTATTCTGTTGAACTATATTATAAGAGATAAGGTTGGAACTTGAAGTTGTTTTGCATATATAAAGTTATATGATTAAAATAGAAAAAAAATTAAAAATAAAT